GTGGGGGAGGGGAGCCTAGCGGGGGGGGAGGGGAGGGAGGGAAGGGAAGTTCAAAAAAAAAAAAAACCGTTGGGAGTTTCTAGCCCTGGCTTTTGTGGATTGTCCCTCCCACTACCCCCATCACCCCAGCCCCCTTTAGAGTGAGTTAAACACTTCCCCCTCCCCACTCGATGTAATGAATGCCCTTTGCCACCCTGGGAATGAAGGGAGGGGTAATCTTGACTGCTCCTGGCAAACTGCCTGCTCAGCACTAGAATTGGGCCTGTCCTTCACTGACTGGTACACAAAGGCACATGCCAGGCGTGGATTTCATCTCCCTGTTTTTCTGGTAGAGGAGAACTAAAAAATCAGGAGTGGGAAGGGGAGCCCCTTGTTCAGTTCTGCACAGTTGGTGACTTGGGAGTGAGCCTTAGCCCCTAGGGGTACCCCTCCTGCCCAGTGGGTGGCCTCTGCGAGGCTGAGCCTGGGGAACAGGGCAGGGGAGGTAGAGGATGGCACTGTTGGTGGGCAGGGAAGGAAACCTGTCCACTACCATTCGCAGAAAGGTGTGGCCTACAGGTGGTATGAGGCCTTGAAAACTGATCCTGGTGGTGGACCTTTTGAGGTAGGTCTTCGAGGAGGATGGTCCTAGGAAGAGCCTGGAACCTAAGGTCAGAAGATCAGCAATGGGACAGAGGTAGATGGATAGGTCAGGAGGAGCAGCAGAGATGCCCAACTGGCACCAGACTCAAGAGTGTCCAAGGCCCTTTCTGGCCCAGGAGGGACAGGACTCTCATTGGCTGGGCTCCTCGGATGTGCCGGGGGCCACTTGAGCATCTTGTTCCATTCAGACCCCACAGGGGTTGAGCTTCCCTGTGGGATGAGAGTCTGAGGTTCTGATGACAGAACAGCTTGTCCAGCTCATGTGGCCACTGTCCAGTTCTGTACTGATTCTAGAACCAATCAGGTGATCTGCTATCACCCAGCAGAGAGGTGCCCCACGGCAACTCACTCCACCCTAAGTTCTCAGACATAGACGTGTCCAAAGCTCAGGAACACTCAAAGAGGGCCAGGGGCGCTGGCATCACGACAGGGGAGGAGACTCCAGTAGCCCCAGTTCTCGCAGGTGTAGAAGACTTCTTCCTAATGCAGGGCAGAGATGTCTGTGAATGCCCAGCGCTTCATAAGCAAAGGGTCCTAAACCCTCTCTTTGAGCCCAAGTTCAGGGGAGAGAATGAAAGCAGGAAGCTGAGATCTTAACCTTGCACCCTGGGATCTTAACTTTGCCCAGAGACCCGAAGTTCTCTGTTTTTTCTCCAAATGAACCTTTCTAATGGGGCTGAGCCTTGAGCATAGAGGCTGAAGCTGACTCATTGCAAAGAGAGGGGCATTGTGTATCCATCCACCCCTCAGAAGCTGGTCCCTCCTGCACCAGCTGGGTCCCAGACTCCAGCTCTGGTCTCCCTGTTGCCTGCACCACCTCTCCCAACTCGTTTTCATAAGAGCCAAGTTTAGCCCTTCAGTGTTAGCTCCATCCTTGGATCCTACCAGGGTGCTTTGGAGCTAGGGTTGCCAGACTGAGCACATAAAAATCTAGAATGCTCAGTTAAATTTGAATTTCAGATGGACAATGCATAATTTTTTAGTATGTCTCATGAAATATTTGAGATATACTAATACTAAAAAATAATATAAAATGCATTGTTTATGTGAATGCAGATTGAACTGGGCATCCTGGATGTTATCTGGAAACTCTATTTGGATCCTGAATAGTCTACTTGGTCAGCCCCTGCCCACAGGGAAGTTTCAGTCCAATAGGAGAGAGGAACTGTTGAGAACTGAGCCACATGGATCCTGTGAGTGCGGTGATTGTAGTGACATCGAGTATGCTGGCATGGCACAGAATGGCTGCTGCATGACAGCGGGCCCTTCACCTGTGATTTCAGGTGGGGGTGGAGTGAGCATGGGACAAGACCTAGACAAAGGAGTGATGGAAGACCAGAATTGGTCCCTCCATTTGTTGGCCCACCTTGGGCTCCTGAGTTGAGGCTCCTCCCCATTCCCACCCACCCCAACAACAAAGACTAGAACATACAAGGAGGGCAGAACAGATCCAGTTGCAGTACCCACTCCCCTCACCAAAACCCTTTCCCTTCCTACACCTCAGTTTCCTCAGCACCTTCAAAGACGTGCCATGACAGTGAGGATGAACTGGGTCGGGAAAGAGCCTTGAGTGCTTCTGGAAAACCCCCTAAGTAAACATAGGAGTTATTTTTTTTACCAGGGAACATTATAAACATTTCATGTCAGATCCAAATGCCTTCTAACGACTTCTGGCTGAGAGACTCAGCTTGACCAAGGGACAGATCCCCGGTGATGTTTACCCCTGAACTGACTGCTACCTCTCCCTTCCCTCCTCTCCCAGCTCTTAACCCAGTGTGCACCACCAGCCCTCTGCATTCCGCCCTCACTACCTGCTTGGTGGATGATTACCCACTGACCTGGGACCTCATCCTCAGCCTCTCCAGCTTTATCCTGGATCACCGAGAATGGCATTGGGACAGGAGAGAGATAAGAGCTGCGCCTGCACTCGTACAGAACCAGATCCTTGTGCTTTTTGAATCGAGTTTCTTCTATGGTTCCACGTTATGGTTCCAAGTTAGGTTTGTGGCTCATCTGAGAAGACAAAGACTCTAAAGAGGAAATAGTACTAAAGGCGGATATTCTTGGATGCAAGTATCCATTTCCTGTGGCCATAGTTCAAAAACCCCCCTGCCCCCTCCTCTTCCTCTCTTC